ATACCTACCTATGCCAAATTCAGCTTCTCTGCTCAACCAGATTTCTTAGTCATGCTACATTTATGTATAGCTCTCCTTTAAAAAATATCCAGCATACATATTCATGAATAGATAGGGTAAAATTGGAGACAAATTATGGCCATTTTTGATGTTATTGACAGGCATTCTCCTTTCTTCCTACAGTAGTAACTTTTACTTTCCTTGAGGATGTTACTTCTTCCTCTGTCCTCAGACATGTGGAAGGAGTTTGTCTCACAGTGATCATCAGGAGACTCAGTTAGAACTAAGGAGACTTTTGTTTGCAAATTTTCTCTTTTCTGTGGATCTGATTATGAGAGAATGCACTTGATATCTTGAGTAACCCATTCTCCCCCTCTCTCCATCCTATTCTATACTCAGAGGAAAACTGTTCTGCACAGTATTTAGGTTCCACTGGGCTTCTAGTTGAATTCAGCCAATGAGGAGTATCAGCAGGAGGCCAGAGGGCAGAAGAGTGAGGCTGGGATATCCTTCTCCTGACTCCTCCTGTGTGGGTTTTAGGGTTGGATATGGATTGTCCCCCAACAGTTCATAGGAACTTGGTCCCCAGTGTGGCAATATTAAGAGGTGGTATGAGCCTTAAGAGATGCGGCCCAGTAGGAAGTAATTTCATTGAATATGCTATCTTTGGAAAGGATTAATGTAGTTCTCAGGATACACAGTTAGTTTTCAAGAGGAGGATTATCATAATAGAGCAAGACCTACTCCTCCCTGCTCTCTGGCTTCCAGTCTCACCATGGAATCTTTTTGCATGGGTTCTCATGATTGCTGGGAGCCATTAGCCAAGTAGGTATGACAATTTCCTTGCCAGCGTACCCCATATTGCAGTGACATTGAATGTAGGTGACCTTGCTCAAGGACCAAGGCGGATTAGGGTGTTCCCGGTTTAAGATAATCGTGTTTAGGGCGTTCCCAGTTTAGGTTCCAGGTTTAAGGTTTAAGATTATTCCTGCTGGGAATAGGGCGTATCCTGCTGCCTGAGTTCCCCTTGAGTTCTCATGGGATTCAGACAGTAATTTTTGGGAGATAGAAGCCCAGTGGAGGTGGATTTGGGCAGAGAACGTGGATTTCCCCAGAACGTGTTTGTAGACGGCTGGTGTGAGTTCAGGAATAAAGAGTTGCTGTTTGAATCTACAAGCTGTGTGGTGGCTCGTGATTGTGTGCCCAGCCAGACTGCGGCACATGATGATGCCATGAGGCCCTAACCAGAGCCCATTTTATACTGTTTAGACTTTGTGCCACAAAACTGTGAGTTTAATAAACCCATTTTCTTTATAAGGCTCTCAGCTTCAAGTGTTTTGTTATAGTAATTATAAGTGATGTTGCTGCAAGTTGGCTGAAGTGTTCTACTGAAGACCTGAGCTCCTGTGAGATGGACTCTCTGTCTAGGCTTTGTTAACCAATCTCTGCCTGCCTCCTTAACATTCAATTTTATACTTTCCTCAGATTATCCACTTTGAGTGCCTTGTCTTTTCTGCATTTGATCCTGACTAAACAGAGGACGAAGTTCTGGGCTTACTCATAGTCTTTGGGGTATCTCATGGGGTTCAAGAATAAGACTGATACAAAGAAAAGTAGAGTCAAGGGAAGGAGAGGTGTAGGGTCCTGGCCCTATTGGTTGACCATTTGACTCTGGTCATGCCCAAAGATATCAGACTCTGATTTGTCAGTTACATGAGCCAGAGTGTTTCCTTTTCTATCCAAGACAACTTGAATTGGGTTTTCAATCACCTGAAACATAATCTTAAAATATAACTGAAAGTATTGCTCTAAAGTGAAGACATACGGATCCATGATCCCAAGAACTCTAAATTTACCTAAATACAATCCAGTCTCCATAAGACCCCATCCTACCTCAGATCCTGTTTTCAGATTTCTTTGAGATTCTTTCTTACACATCAGGAGTATCCTTACAATATTTACTGTCTTGACTCAAGTTAACATAAGTAAATCGCAGTTCCTTGGAGTAATAAAACATTACCCGTTTACAGATAGGAAAATAAAGGTCAAGACGTATGAAGACACTTCATCCAAGTCAGAGGTCCTGGGCTTGGCAGGCAGGTCTTTTGGCCCAGGATCTCTCCATGCCACCTCAGTTTCCTTATGTTCCCTTTCCCTTCTTCCCTAGGCTTTTTACCCCCTTCCCTGTATGGCCCTGTAGCCTAGGTCACATCATATTATCTCAGCATCTTAATGAGAAGGTGCCAGCCATCAATGAAGGAAAACCCGGGTTTGTCTTTCTCTGAGTTTCCATTTCTTTTTTGTATATTCATTTGCTATTTAGCATGACTACCCTATGAAAATCTGGGGATGTTTCATAATGTTTAACTTGTACTTCCATTAAGCTTCCCAACTGTATATGGACTGCCTTCCTATGTGAGAGGAAATATATCTGGTATTTGATTCATCTTTGAAAAATCTATATTGCCTAACACAGTATCTACTTTACTTTAGATGATCGATATATATCCATTGATAGGACTGACTAAAAGGATCTTACATTATGTAAAATGCTGTCTAAGCTGTTGTAGCAAAATTACAGAAGTTTATTTCCTCTCCATTGCCCAGAGGTGGACAGGCAGTCTCCAGGGCAGGTTAACAGTTCTGCTCTATAAAATCATCCAGGACTCAGGTTCCAACTTCTTGCTCTACTAACCTCTAGGGTGTTTTTCTCCTCATAGTCAGTGCTGGTTCACCAGTGTAGCATTCACATTCTATCCTAAGGAAAGGAAAAAAAAGAAAATGAAGGGAAAGCAGGTAGCCTCTCTGTTAAAAAGTGATCCAAATTTTCACGTTTTATCTTTGCTTGCATCTCATTGGCTAACTTATTGCCACATGATCACACCAGCTTACAAGTGATGCTGAGAAAATAGAGCATATAAATGGGCAGCTATGTGTACTCATAAAATTCAAGGATCTGTTGGTAAAAGAAAGAGTCATGTGACTGATGAATTGTTGAAATTAAAAGATTGCTGATACTAAGTGAGTAGGGGTGTGAAATTGCTCATCTACCTTAGAGAACTCTTTGGTCATTCCTCTTCTAGCCATTTACCTAGGAGTAATGGAAACATTAGCCTACAGAAAGACTAATACAAGAATGTTCACAGGAACCTCACTCACAATGGCCAACAATTGGAAACAAACCTCATGTCCATCAAAAGCCAATGTTTAAACATGTGAGATATTTATAATGAAATAGTGGAATGTGACTCAGCAATAAAAAGGAATGAATTTCTGATACATGAAACAACCAGGGTTGACTCATCCATTTGGCATAACAGGCATAATTCTGAGACCCATGAAAATAGCTTTTAGATTGAAGAAATATTGATTGTATAATATTGGTATATCCATCTTTACAAAAACACATGCAGATGAAATAATTCTTAAGATATATATATATATATATATATATATATATATATATATATATATATATTTTTTTTTTTTTTTTTTAATGAAGGAAGGGGCCCATGAAGTGCTTAGGGCCCACACAAGTCATAATGCAGCCCTATGAACAACCAGGATGAGTATTTAAATGCAGGTTAAACAGAAAACCGAGATATAAAACAACGCAAGCTGTACAATTCCATTTAAACGCAGTTCTAGAAGCAGCAGAACTAATCTATGTCGAAAGTAATCAGAAAGTGGTTAGCTCTGGGGTGGGGAGGGGCTCTGAAATGGAGGGATGAAGTCACTCTGGAATAACAGAGAATGTTCTACATCTTCTATATCTATGTTCTATATCTTGGTTTTTGGTGGTGTATTTTGATTTATGTGCAACTTTCTAAAATCATAGAACTGAATTTTTTGTTGTATATTGTGCTACAATTTTGAAAAAGAAAGAAGGGGGAAGGGCACTAGGGCACAATTAATCATCTCTGTGACAGATCTGATAAATGAATTGCTAAGAGGTGTCAGCTGAGGAGGTTTACTGTTGCATTTTAGCAGGAGTCTTTGGGCACTTAAACAAAAGAGTCCACACACTGTGAGAAATGAACCACTCTGCCCTGTACTGTCTGGGTTTTTTTGTTGTTGTTTGTTTTAATCACAGCAACAGATCTAGTTGGCTTAAGAAGAAAAAGAGCTTATTGTCAGAATAAGAGGAAGCATTCAGGACACCTTCAAATCAGAGGAAAGATCATGCCAGAGGCAAAACAGAGGAAACATCAGGCCATCAGATCACTTGGGGGCGTGACCTTCTATGCCTTTGTCACCATCTATGCCTTTGTCCCACCTAGAGAGATTCAGCTCAGGCTTTCACCGAATCTTTTCACAACTTCCCCCAAAGCTGAAAAACCAGTGTGGAAGCATCTAATTGACCGGGTTTAGGTCAGGCCAACATATAACTCCTAAGGAAATAGGAGTGGGAATGTGTCACTCAGTTTCTAAACTTGGAGGTGGGGCCCCAGCATGATCAGTGTTCACAGCACAATCCATCTACATTGTTCATATTCTTGCTTTGTCATTCTAACACCTGTCCAGGACTTTCAAGACCCAGGACAGGCCTAATGTGGACAGTTATGTTCAAAACCCCTGATCACACTATGGAGTGTGACCCACAGGTTCTGGTGTGCAATACCATTACAGCTGCAATCACCTAGAAACAGGCCAAGACCTGGGTGGAGGTTGGATGGTTATAAATTTTTGACGTGGTGAATATAAGATGAAGATTTTCAATAGACAGGCCCTCAATACACAGCTTGAGGGGCCAGTTAAGGTCAAGTCTTGGACGTCTTCTGGCTGGGGCTTGTGTGAGCTGAGCCCAGACGGTGGGGAGGAGCGAGGGAAGGCTGTTCCTGGGGATTCCATCACTAGCGAAGGATCTCCCCCGGCTTAGGCGCAGCCCCCGCGTGGCGCACAGGTCCTCGAGTCCCCGCGCCCTTTCCGAGGTCCGCCCCTTTGGGCGGGGCGTGGCAGCGACACTGTAAAGTCACCCGGAAGACAGAGCCGGGTAGGTGCGGGCTACGGCTTGTCCTCTCTACCCCATCGGGAGGCGGAGGCCTGCCCGATGCCTGGGCCTGCAGCGCTGAGCGCCGCGGCGGCGGTGGCACTGGTGGCCGCCCTGCTCCTGGCGCGGCGTGAGGAGGCGGGGCCGGAGACCGGCCCCAGGTAACTCCTTCGGGTAGGGGACCGAGCTGGGCCCTGCACTCTTCCCGGGACCCTGGAAACCGCGGGGAAAGAGGCTGGTGGTGCCAGCAGTTTGTGGCACCTGGGCGGACCCCCAGCTCGTTCCCCTTCCGAGGTGTCTGCTGGGGCCATTGGGAGGCGGCTAAAGTGCCGCGCCCCGTAGGTGACTCAGCACTTTCCCCTGAGCTGGAATGACAGCCCCTGTCCTCTGGGGTTGGAGCGGGGCAGTCGCTTAGCATCCTCAGATCAGCACCTGTGGATGTTTTTTTTCCCCAGCAAACCCAAGCTGCCGAAGCTTCGGGAAGACTTCAAGATGCAGAATAAATCCGTCTTTATCCTGGGCGCCAGCGGGGAAAGTGGCAAAGTGCTGCTAAAAGAAATCCTGGAACAGAACCTGTTTGCCAGAGTCACTCTGATTGGCCGGAGGAAGCTCACCTTCGAGGAAGAAGCATATAAAAACGTGGTGGGTATTTGAGCTAGGAATCAAAAATGTAGCCGCATCAATTTTTTAAAGATGAACGTATTTCATGGCCGAAGGTTGAACCTTGCTAGGCCAGTGGTGGCAGCCAGAGAAACTGATCTTTGAAAGTTCCTCCAGGGAGCCTGCCTTGTAGGCCTCCCTTCACCATGTGTCCTTGAGCAAAGACTTTACTACATCTAGAACTAATAAAGTGGGACCTACAAGGTAAGGCGGGTAGGTGAGACAGGAAAACACTATTTTTAGTTCAGACAAGCTGGTTTCTGGGAATGGTCCTGCCAAACCTTGGCAGTTTTCTCAACGACTTTGCTTATTTTGTCTACCTGGACACTTCACATTAGTGTTATGAGAACCTGAAAAAGCCTTGCAGAGTGGGAAAGATCTGTGGCAGTGAATAGTGCTCTCCTTGGGTACAAGAATCTGCCCTGGGCTGGAATTGCAGCCCAGTGGTAGAGCACTTGCCTAGCTTGTGTGAGGTACTGGGTTCCATCTCAGCACTACATAAAAATAAATGAATAAAATAAAAATAATGTGTCCATCTACAACTAAAAAAAAAAAAAAAATCTGCCCTGCCTGACTTCCCAGGCTTGTGTCTATAAACATTATCTTCACTGTAAGTTATACTTTCAGTGTAAACAGATGATATACCAGACTTCCATCTGATGATAATACTCTAATACCTGAACTCTGAGCTTCCTGGAGATTCTTTGCTCCCTGTGTTATCTTGACGTGTGTTATCTGTGAACTGCAGCAAATTGAACAAAATGGTGCGCTCCTGAGACAACTGTAGAATTTAGTCCCACAGGTTTCATTGGAGGAACATTCTAAATAATAAACGCACTCACCAGTAAGTGTTTTTGAGTCTCCCAGGTTTATACTCAAATCATGTTGTGAATGTTTTTGGTCCATCAGGACTGGCCTGTTTGAAACAGACGTCTTTTGCTCAGGCTTAGATAGGTGTTAGATGGCCTTTATAATCTAGTTTCTTGAGCAGTATGAAAAATTCCTGGCAATTACAATCTGAGATTGAGATCTGTGCTTTGAGAGTGGAGTTTGGGTGGCACATCTTTTGTGAAGATCTTTTTCTTCAGTGTTATATGCAGTGTAAGGAAAATTCTTTTGAAAGAGTTGATAGTAGTGAAGGGAACCAACATTTTATTTAAATTCCTGGATGATGAAACTTCTTATTTTCTTAAATTTATTCACAATAGACTTAGAAAGTTAGGTGCAGGTGCTTAAATTTCAGTGGGCATTAGAATTCCTGTGGGTGCTTGTTGAATATACAGAGTCTGAGTCAGAAGTATTTGCATGGGATCTAGAATTTTTTTTTTTAAGCACCTTCTGGCTGATTCTAATGCAGGTAGCTTGAGAGTTGCACAGAAGGAGAGATTATCACCCACATTTTGCATGTCTTTTTTTTTTTTTGTCTTTCTATAATAAAATAAAATTGAATCTGATATTAGAAATCTGGATCACCCCTTGTCCAGTTATATGTACCAGAGATACATATGTGCATGGGTGATTTTCCATTCAGAGCAATTGCTTTTGACTGGGAGAAAATGAATTTGCCAAATTTAATGTTAAGTGGTTAGGTCCTTCCATAGTGATCTGTAATTTATTCTTTAAATCTACAGGAGATTTCTGTTTTTTATATATGGGGTTATATATAACTATGTCCTTGTCTAGAATCAAGAAGTGGTGGACTTTGAAAAATTGGAAGACTATGCTTCTGCCTTCCAAGGTCATGATGTTGGATTCTGTTGCCTGGGTACCACCAGAAGCAAAGCTGGTGCGGTAAGGAAGAAATATGCTTTTTCCTTTTTTACTGGCCAGTAATGTCAAGGATTTCTTTTTGCTTACTCTTTTTCTTTGTGCATTTTGTAGTGTTAAATGTAAATAAGCTCTTATTGTTTAAGATTCCATCTGCTGTCCTCACTTTGTTGTACTTTGAATAATACTAATAAATTCATCTTTCTTTCAGGCCTGAGTGCTGGATACATCATAAATATTCACATGATCTTGCTGATGGCAACTATTGCTATCATTATAATATCCCCTGACTAAGGCAAACAGTATCTGAGTAAACATAATTGACTCATCGGCAGTAAGCTTTTTTTCTCCCTTCCATAATAAATATTTTAAACTTGAAGCATCCCCTCTCACTTGAGTGATTTGCTTCAATTCATTTTCATGCCAGGCCTTAAACTCGTGGGATAGAACATTGGAATAAAGAGGCACGATTCAGCCAGCCCCCAGTGATGACTCAGCTTTCAGCAGTGATTCAGCCCCAGTGATGATTCAGCCCTCACTGACGCAAAACTGTTTTAACACTTTTTATTTTCTTTTTAATGATGTTTTAAATTGAGTTGGCCTCTGTCTAGAAGTCATAGTTTACTACATAGTTAAAAGTCATGGTTTACGACGTACATCCTGGGCAAATATTAATACAGACGTCTTCTTTAATTTATAACTGGACTATAGTTTATCCCTCTGGCAGAATTTTCTTCCTGGAGCCAAATGTTTCTATTAAGTATGCAGGGCCATGATTCTGCCATGGGACTTAGTATAGGTTTATAAACCAGGCCCTTGCAACTGAATTGTTAGGGGAGCATGTGGTGAAGTACTGTTGGTTTATACAAACCAAGTAGTTGTATTTCATTGGACTTCTAAGCAAGCCAAAGGATAATTAGATTTATGCTTTTGGTCAAGGTGTATTTTCATATCTTTTGCAGTTCTGCATATCTGCACTAGAATGCTACTGGGTTTTGAGCTCTACACTGTGAACTGCGGTTACAGAGAAATTTGACTTTCTGAGCAATTGGCACATTATGTATCCCTTCTAGAACGGGTCATGCTCCTGCTCAGCAGCTAGGACAGTCTTTTTTGCCCCAAGGGACCATCACAGCAGTGTGCCCTTTAAAAAGCATCAGAAAAACTTTTGTTCTTGTGCTTTGCAGGTTTCACTGTCTCAAGTGCCAACCTGGTTTTGGTGGTGACTCAGCAAAATAAAAAAAAGAAAAACAACTGCATTAAGCATAGAGCAGTTGATTTTCATGACATTAGGTAATTCTTGTAGAGCGCTCCAGGGAAAATTCTGAATTGCTTTGATGCATTTACATTGTGTAATGCAATTTTAATCAGATAGACTGAATGTCTTCACTACTGAGAATATTTTTTAAATGGGGTTGGTTTCCTACTTCTTAGGCCATGAAACTCATCTTTGGTCGTCCTGTAAAAACAATTTGGAAATATGAAAATAATTAATAAGTAAGCTTGGGAAAAGATTAGTAAGCCAGCTAGGCTCATAAATAAGTTAGGATTTAAATGGTTAAGAGGATAATGGCAGAAAGTAACCTGATACTCCCTCTAGGAAAGGCTTTTTTTTTTTTTTTTAACTAATTTGGATTGGGTGCAACATTCATTTTTGAGGTTGTGATAACTAGGCATTCTAAGGGGTGACTAACATGAGTAAGTAACAATAGTTGTCTGAAGAGGGCTTGTGGGATTGTAAACTCATCCCTGTGAAATTCTTCTGGGCCAGCAGCCCTCTCTGTACCTATGACAAAGCTGGTGGCCAGCCAACTGTCATTCAGGAGCTGGTTTGTAATTGGATCACCATTATGTGAGGTGTCCCCCAAAAGCTCATGTGTTAAACGATGCAAGAAGGTTCAGAGGAGAAATGATTGGGTTGCAAGAGTCTTAACCCAATCAGTGAATTAATCTCCTGATTGGAATTAATTGAATGATAACTGAAGTGATGGTGTGTGGCTGGAGGAGGGGGGAATTGGGGCCTGGCTTTGGGAATATATTTGTATCTGAGAGTGGCGTCTCTGCCTGGTGTTTCCCTCTGCCACACTCTTCCACCCTAATATTCAGCCTCAAAATTAGAGCTCTGAGCAATGGAGCCAGCCTTCTATGGACTAAGACCTCTGAAACTGTGAGCCCTCAAATAAACTTTTCCTCCTTTAAAATTATTCTGGTCAGATCTTTTAGTTACAGTGAAAAATATGACTAAAACAAACATCTGTATTTTGCCTTTTAGCAATCTGAGTTTATAGTAGAGAAACCTCAAGGAATTCATGGTTTCTGTCTGCACTTATTGAGATCCTCTGAACAGTCAGCTGATTTCCTATGCTCATTAGTATATTAGTTTGCTAGAGCGGCCATAACAAAGTAGCACTGGGTGACTTAACCAACAGAAATTTATTGCCTCAGAATTCTGGAGACTAGAAGTCTGAGATTAAGATGTTAGAGAGTTGGTTTCTTTTGAGTGCTGTGAGGGATAGGTGCATTTCATGGGTTTCTCCTTGACTTGCAGATGGCTGCTTTCTCTGTGTATTTTCACATGGTGTTCATATTTTCCCTTTTCATAAGGACATAAACATATTTGATTGGGACTGCCCTATGGAGTACAACTAATTACTTCTATAATGTCCCTGCTTCCAAATAAGGTTACATTTTGAGGTACTTGGGGTTAGTACTTCAACATATGCATTTTGGAGGAATATGATTTAACCTATAAAATTCAGTCTACTCTGATTTCTGTTGGAAAAATGCTAGAGTTAAGCCTATTAGCTTTCTTCAGTTGTTTTGAAAACCATTTCCTTTAGTGGTGGCTAGTTATGCTACACTTCCCTTTTACACTCAGGCCACAATAGTCTAGTCAGTGTGGTAGCTCTCTGATTTGGCCCTGGTCTAGATCTGCTGGACCTGAATCTCTGAGGTTGGAAGCTTGGAATATGTATTTTTAGCAGGTTGCTTCGGAGATCCTGATACAACCAACCTTGCTCTTATTGGATCTGCTTTTGGGAGACACTGGGAACTGAAGGAGGGGGCTCTTCACTTGCCTGGTAGTCTAAATGGGCTCAGCTTGCTTTAGTGAGTAACTTGTATGCTAATGAAGGTACAGATACCCTTTGAGAACCAGATTGACATTGGCCTTGAAAGAAGACCAAGACTCAAAGATACCACTGAGCATAATACATTTCCCTTTATTTGTAATAAGAGAAGGATTTGTTTGGTGAATTTGAATGGTTTGGTGTTCATTTGTTTCTTTACTATTAGGAACAGGCTTCAGCAGTCCAGGTTCTTAGATTCTGTTGAATGGATGATGATTTTAATATAATTAATGTAGCAATTGTAATATTTATTAAGTATCATTAGAATCTCATGGCTTCTGATTCTAAAATAAGTCTTCTTCTAATCTAGTTTGCAAACTATGGAATGGGAGCCTAATATAACCTGTCACCTGTTTTTGTATGGCCTTTGTAAACTAAGCATGCTTTCTTATTTTTAAAATGGCCAAAAGCTTCCAAAGAATGTCATGCCACATGAAAATTTTAGTATCCATAAAGTAAGTTGCTCATTAAGGTAGAGCTGTAGATGTAACAGAGGCTTGCAAAGCTGATGGTGTTTATTATCTGATCTTTTACTGAAAAAGTTTCTCCACCCCTGTTCTAATTGCTCTTGTTTTATTTGATGTCCAGGAGGGGGCTCATGAAGTGGTGAGGTCTTAACTGATTCAAAAGACCCAGATCACAGACCTTATTCAGAAACCATGTAGATGTAGAACCTTGAGGATATTGCTTAGCTTCTGTGGACCACCACCCTGTCTATACTAGGCGGGAGGAGACCACTGAAACTCCTTCCAACTACAGAGTTTCGTGGCTCTATGCATCATAGAGAAAAAAAAGGACTCAAATGAAGGTACTGACTGACTCAGGAACCCTCAGTATCTGTTTGATTTTATTTTTTTATTTGGAGGTCTTTCTCTAACCAAGATTGTCCTCCCACCTCTGTGTATAATATATAGAGATGCCCTTCAGGACACAAACAAATGAGGCTCAGATTATACTATACTTTCTTTGACAGTATTTCTGCTCTCTGATTTAAGTTTGGATTGAAAAGGGAGTGGAAAAGAAAGAACTGGAAACAGAAATATACCTGAGTGAGACCCTTTACAGAATGATAGATCCTCCTTCTTAGGAAAGGACTCTGTGCCCTTCTGTAGTGATTCCAGCTTGCTTTCTCCTCCTGTGAGTCAGCACTGAAATGCCTTGTTAGGATGTTGTTCTTAAGTGGCAATATATATATATATATATATATATATATATATATATATATATATATATTTTTAGTTGTAGTTGGACATAGTAACTTTATTTTATTTATTTATTTTTATCTGGTGCTGAGGATTAGACCTAGCGTCTCGCACATGCTAGGCGAGTGCTCTGTTGCTGAGCCACAACCCCAGCAATATTGCTAGTGGTTTTCAGGTATTAGTAAAGAAGACTGGAAGAAATAAAAATTTGGACTCTTTGAATTTTAATTAGACTTAAAGTAAGAGTAATTGTAGAATTTCTCTTTGGATGTCTGTAGATAGTCTTATTCTAAGTCATAATACATTGTAAGCATTGTTTTGAGTGGGTGCTGGGAAAGAAACTAATAGTGGAAACCTATTTAATTAATTACTTTTGCTAGAAGGAACTGTGATTCCTACCTTAGATTAGAACACTGGCTATGGAATTGTTTAAGACACAATAAAGAGTTAGTACTCTGAGAAGAGTCTGTTCTCTTGTGGTTAGGGAAACAGTACAGTTTTTCTGAAATTGTGTTGCAGGGATAATATTTCATTTTTTTTTTAAACTTGAGTGGTTAGAAGAATAAGAAAGGGAATTAATAAAATTTTAAAGATGGCTCCTTCTATCAGTAAGGAGGATCTTCCTCCCTCCAAAAAAACTGGCATGTTTTTGACATCTCCTAGTCAGTCACCCGCGCTCCTACCTCAGTTTGATTTCTAAGTCCCTGAAAGCCGTTGACTCTTTTGCTTTTGAGTTTCATTCACAAGCTAAAAGGCCATGCCATCAGGGTGAGGGAAGTGAAATTTAAAATTTAGTGGGCTTGGAAAAATGCGTATTTATAATCAGCTTGAGGGCTCAGAGGATTTGTGAAATCTTTTTGGATTAACAGCCATTGATTGCTCATAAAACAATATTTAGCTTTGTTCAGAGGAGGGCAATGGAGAAAGGTATGGGCACCTTGTCATCAGGGCTCATTGAGCGGGGATGATGGACTGAGGGTGGGGGTCTCTGCAGTAGCGTGGGTGCTCGTCCTTCAAGGAGCCGTTGTCAGTTGATAGCCAGGCTGGTGAAAGGAAGGACGCTAGAGTCTGATGGCTTGGGGTGGTATTGATGTGCCTTCACTGGCTAATCAGATTGAAAGAGTCCCATGGCATTTATGTCACTTTAATTTTCATCAAACAATTGGAGACGACAGAACTCTATTAAAGAGAGGTTGATCCAGAACTAAAGCCAAATAAATTAGGGTCTCGGTTTAATCAAATGATCCTCTTCTGGCTCTGGATTAAGTAAGAGAGACAGCGTCGGTCTGGAGGCTTGCGATTGGCTGACTCTTTCTCTTATTTTTTAAAGGAGTTGATGAAAAAAAAAAATTTTAACTGAAGAAACTATAATAATCCTTCCAAGCCTTTGTGCTAATACAACAATAAAAAACACAAAATTTATTTTACGTGGCAACTATGTTATTTTATTGTGAATAACAAACCTGTTTATGGAAACCACAGTGCTGTGATTTGGAGTGAGAGGAAGAAATAGACATGGAAGAGAAATTCAGTTAGAATTTTCCTATGTAGTTTTGGGTTTTTCTTGGCACACTTTCAGCACATCTAAAATCTAAATTTGGAGAAAGGCTCTGATAAGAAGTGCCTTTCCCTGTCCCTCACTTTCTCTTTCTCTCTCTCTCTCTCTCTCTCTCTCTCTCTCTCTCTCTCTCTCTCGGTGTGCTAAGTGTTAAAACGGGTTTGCTTCAACTGATATTAAAAAACAACAACATGAGTTTGAGTCATCGTTTAGCACAAGCCCACTTAGGAGTGATTGTCAGAGTAAACAATACAAAAGAAGATGGTAATACTCCATTGTGTATAAGTATATGGGCTAAAAATGGGAGTTCATAACTCACTTGAAGCAAAGTGTGAAAGATGATATATCAAGAACTATGTAATGTTTTGAACAACCAACAATAAAAAAAAATAAAAAAAATAAAAATAAATAAATAAATAAAATACATTTAAAAACAAAAAAAAAAAAAAACAAAAGAAGATGGTGATGACTCTTTGGTAAAGAGATGAGTTTATATTACCTAAAATAGAGGAGAAAATTAACATTGCCCTGCAGGTTGTCCATAGAGTTAAAAAGGTACTGGTGAATGATGAGAAAGGAGGACAAAGGGAGGCTTTCACAGTGCTAGTAAAGTTCTATTTCTTGATCTGGGAGCTGGTTACAGAGAATGCTTAGTTTATGAAAATTCATCAAGCTCCCTACTCACAATATGTTTTCTTTTATGATATACTTCAATTCAAAGTTTAAACATTTTGTTTAGACCTATTATTATAAAATTAAATTTCGTATTAGTTTCTTATTGCTGCTATAACAAATGACCTCAAACTGAGTGGTTAAAACAACATAAATTTATTATATTATAGTCCTACAGGATAGAAGTTAGCATGGGTTCCACTGAGATAAAATTAAAAGGTCAACAGGCTGCATTTGCCTGAGGCTCCAGGGGAGAATTCATTTCCTTTCCTTTTCCAACACCTAAAGGCTGCCTACTTTCCCTGGCTCATGGTCACCTTCCTTCATCTTTAAGGCCAGCAGTTTGGGGTGGAGCCTTTTTCACATTGCTTAACTCTAATCTCCTCTGCTGTTTCCCTTTTCCTAGTGCCCTATGATTACACTGAACCCATAATAATCATTTTAAGGTCAACTGATTAAAGTTAAAAAAAAATATAGTGGCATCTGCAACATTAATTCCTCTTTACCATTTGGTCTGACATAATTAGGGGGCTTAGGTCGTGGCACTCCTCGAGAGACCCTTATTCTGGCTACCAGAATTGTAGACTTATTTTTACCAGCTAGAGAGAGTGTGGAATATAAAGGAACATAGATACAGTGGAAAGAGCACTACTCAGAATTGGGAACCTGCACTCTGCTCTCAGCTCTGTCACTCCCTAGCCAGCAGTTCACCAACCACTGGACCTTATTCCATCTGCATAATGAGGGGGTTGGATGTGGTATTTCCTAAGGTCTCTTCTAACATTTCTAAGAAAGACACACATTGTCATACCATATTAAACATTTAGAAACCAATAACTACCTCATAAGAAAGATTTAATTTAAGAAAGTCCTTTGGGCAGTAATCTTATCTTCAGATTTGGAATCTCCTCACTGTAAGACCTAATTATATAATTGTGACATTTGGCTTCAGCAGGCTTTTAGTTTCTTCAGTTGTCTCCAGTTTGGGGATGGCAGAATTGGGGGTGGTCCCAAGAAGTTGGTAACTACAGTGGAATCCCCTTTTCAGGTAGAAGTGCATGTCCTTCAGTTGGGTTCTGGAAATGGGTCTATATTCTGGTTGCATCATTCACTCCTCCTCCTTCCATGGCTATTAATTCTGTTCTTTGAGACTAGATTTGCCTTTTCTCTGCTTTCCTCAGATTTTTATTCATCCCTTCAAATATTTTTGAAGCATCAGCTATATGCTAGGCATATGCTGATGCGGACTTGTGAATGAAGGAGAAAGACTCAGCTTTTGTCCTCACTGGATTGAGTCTAGATCTGGGGTCTCCAAACATTTTTGATCATATGCCTATCAGTATGAAAAACAATTGAGAACACATTCCTCACTAATGTCTAAAGTATGTGGCAAAACATACACAAAGATCAAAAATTAAACAGACTGTTCTCATAGTGCCTAGCAAATGGGCTTCATCACAGTTTGAGACCCTGCCATGTTAGATTTGACACAAAGAAGAGCAGACTGAGAGGTGGTTCTAAGGTTGTAAATGTGAGGAGAGAATCAAATGCAGGAAACAGAATAGTGGCTCAATTGTAACACAAGCTTAGACCTCTGGAGGAGGATCCTCCAGCAGACATTGGTACCTGTCTTCTGCTTACAACCTAGTGAAGTTATAGGGGATGAAGGGGTAAAGGAATTTTTGTGGTTAGGCCGTTGCTAGGGGGTTGTCAGGGAAAGGTCCTTGTGGTCATGCTCATTCTTCTTTGTGATGGTCACTGTTACACGTTGAACAGGGTGTTCTTCAAGATTTCAATCCCAGGTAACAAGTTTCATTACAGGGTATTGTCTGGGGTTTAGGACAGTGTGACTGTCGTTTGGGTCAGAGTGTCTGTGGGTGACAGTTATTCTAAGGTGGAGGATATGTTTCAAATGGTTTTGCTTAAGTCAAGTTCTCCCTAACAGTAAAGTTATTGAAGGACAAATAAATTGTAATTAAAAGCAGTTTCTCAGCCTGACCTCATTGATCCCTTTGCTCCTTGAGATTTATTGAGTGTCCATGCTCCAGTGTCATGGTTCTTATTTTTCTGTCCAGCCTTGCTGCTAAGGCTGGTGTGTCTATTTGGAGGGCTACACTTGGAGTCTTTCCCAGGGTCTAAGCCTGACTTTCATGTATTGCTTGGATGCATTTTATTTAGATCCCCATCCCACACCCCACACTCACCTTCTCCAAACCTGCCAACAAAGCCAGGTAGTAATCTTTAAAATGAAGTTGCAACATTTTGGAAATAACTCATATCCTTTTCCCCCTCAGGAGGGATTTGTTCGTGTTGACCGAGATTATGTGCTGAAGTCTGCAGAGCTGGCAAAATCTGGAGGGTGCAAACATTTCAATTTGCTGTCTTCTAAAGGAGCTGATAAGTCAAGCAATTTTTTATATTTACAAGTTAAGGTTTGTACACATTTCTACCTTTACTATACTTTGGGCTAATTGACAGTACTAAATAATACAAAATACTATATAATATTTAAAGAGCATTAAACACATTATGTTATACATTTTCCATAGCTACAGGAACTGTTTTTGCAGTAAAATATTTAGGAAGCAGGAGTAATTTGAAAGATAATTTCCGATGTCTTCCCCCTTATTAATTACCATTGATCAGGGGGATGGGCTATGGAAGCTCTACCCCTGAATGACAGCGAGGCATCTTGGCATTGGAGGAGGCTTGGAGGCAGTGATTTTTAAACTATTCCCTTGGTTTCCCTTATGGCAGAGAGGAAGGAGCTTTGATTTCTGGAGATTTGGGGACATTTACCCTGAAACATTCTCCTAATTACAAGCTCAACTTTCTTAAAAGTCTTGTTTTCTTTTTTAAAAGATTCATGTACAGACAAGCATGATGGCACACACCTCTAATCCCAGTGACTTGGGAGGCTGAGGCAGGAGTATTGCAAGTTCAAAGCCAGCTTCAACAATTTAGTGAGTACTTGAGAACTTAGTGAGACCCTGTCTCAAAATAAAAAATAAAAAGGGCTGGGAATATAGCTCAGTGATAAAGCACTCTGGGCTCAATCCCCAGTACAAAAAAAAAAAAACAAAACAACAACAACAAAAAAAACCACATACATTTTGCTATTCTCAATACAAAATATATCCTTGCTTATTTTAATAAAGTTTCCATTTCCTAATCTTCCAGTGAAATTGTTGCTGCAGGAAGCGAGGCCATGGCTTTACTTTTTTGTCCTTCCTGATGCACTCTACATGCCTATAGTGTAAGAAGCAGGGCCGTAGTGTTTGGACAGAGATATTTCCATGGGAAATCTTTCTACAGAAGTCTGCTTAAATGCCTCACCTTGTGTTTTAGTCAGCCTTTTTGCTGCTGTGACTAAAGGATCTGACCAGAACAATTCTAGGGGAGGAAAAGTTGATTTGAGGGCTCACAGTTTCAGAGGTCCATAGGCATTGAGTTCCATTTCTCAGGGCTCCAGGTGAGGCAGAAACAACATGGCAGCAGAGTGTGGCAGAGGATAGCAGCTCACACAGTAATCAGGAATCAGAGAGAGAGGGAGAGAGAGAGAGGAAGAGAGAGAGAGAGAGAGACTGATTCCATGCACCAGATACAAAATATATACTAGAGAGAGACAGACAGACAGACAGACACACTGACTGACTCCATGCACCAGATACAAAATATATACCCAAGCCACACCCCAATTCCCACCTCCTCCAGCCACAACCCTACTACTTCAGGTACCACTCAGTTAATCCCTATCAGGGGATTAATTTCACTGATTGGGTTAAGACTTTTACAATCCAGTCATTTCTCCTCTGAACCCTCTTGCATTGTCTCACGTGAGCTTTTGGGGGACACCTCACATCCAAACCATAACACCTTGCTCAGATCCACTTGTCAAGTTCCTATCTTGAGGTGAGATCAGCTACTTTGTACATGCTAATTGTTGTTTGAAAATAACAAAAGCAAGCCCAGTCTTTCTTTGGCATTGTTATCTTTAAGATATTTGGAAATTAAAGTTGACTTAATTGTATTTTTACCACGAACAACACTTTTAAGTCCTTGTACCCTTCTTTATTAGTTTCCTGTTTATTCTTTCTGCTTTTTTAAAGTATAGAGATTGAATCCAGTGGCACTTTATTACTGAGTTATATTCCCAGTTCTTTCTGTTTTTTTATTTTGAGATGGGGGTCTCACTAAATTGGCAACACTGGCCTCGAACTTGAAATACCCCTGTCTCAGCCTCTGGAGTTGGTGGGATTACAGGCATAAACCACTGCCCAGCTATCAGTTACCCTGGTCACTTTGCCGAGTGAACTTTACTATGTTGTTATATTGGAATTGTAGTGGAACTATTGCTTTTCATTCTCTGGAAACTATGTTATTTTAAAAAATATATGTATTTTTTTGTTATAGGTGGACACACAATATCTTTGTTTCATTTTTATGTGGTGCTGAGGATCAAACCCAGTACCTCACAGGTGCTAGGCGTGCACTCTACCACTGAACTACAACCCCAGCCCCTATGTTATCTTTTTAAAAGAGAAATATTATTATTTGAGTAACTATCTTTGTCATGTATTGTGCATGATCAGTTTGTGATTAGGAATGTTTCTATATTTTTTTTTCATAGAGCTCAGAACTCATAGCTAATCAGTAGCTTTCTATCCAAAAATAGTATTTTGAAGCAGATGAAGGCCAGTGAGCCACCAATGAAGTTAAATCAACAATGGAAAAGTTTCTGGGGAATGACACTGATCATATTATGTTATGTGCATGTACTAATATGCATAATGAATCCCACTATTATGTACGATTATAATGCACCAATAAAAGGAATAGAAATGTTTCAGTTTAATGGTTAGAGTTTAGAATAATACTCAAAAGAAAAAAAATTTAAAAATATTTAAAAATATTGGTTCTGTGAAAGATTATCAAACAAATACTCTCATTAGCAAGATAAACATACCTTTTAGGAAAGGAAATATATGCATTTGTTCATCTTTAAAGATAAAGGAATCACTACTACCTACTCTGTGGGTTTTAAGAAAGATTCAGTCAGACAAGAAAATAGCAAACATTGTGTTCTAAGGGTTTTTCTGTATATTTGTGTGGAAACTGAGTATCATGATCTTAAGATCACCACTGATAGTGGCAGGGCTGGGACTTAAACCCAGGCAGTCTGATGCCAGTGCATGTTGCTAGGCATTAGGCAATGAGTAAGTAGCCTTTGTCATTAGTACATGTGGAAGGACCTAGCACAGGGCCTGAGCCATGACAGAGCCTTAGCAAATATTAGTAATGCCAACAGGATGGAAAGAGACCTTTTTGTTCACTGAAGTTGACCTGCATTGCCTGCAGCATGGGTTTATGAGTAATTACATAAAGTAATTACAACCAAACTGTCATCCCAGAATGATACTAGACAACACAGCTGTGTCTAGAATTTGGAAAGATGATCTTTATTGAATAATCCTTCAACTACTGTGTGTATTATTTTGGTGTTTATCATTTATGTTCTCAATCTCCTGTGTGTGAATTCTCCCTCTTTTCCAGTTTTAGAAGCTCCTTGATTCTTTAGGAGCATTTGTTTTACTCATTATCTTTTTAAACTGCATTCATTATGGAGGCCTGGATCAATCACATACTTTCATGGGTATGCTGCTGATGTGGTGGGGGAACTGTTGGGGTGTGGAGCCAGAGCACTAGACTGGCCTCATGTTCTATGTCTGTAAACTTCAGTTCTTCATCTGTTCAATGTCTATATGTATTTAAAACATTGTCTATATGTATTCTCACTGCCTTTTGAAACTTGTTAAGAAGTGAATGATACAGATGGACATCTATGGGATTACTTCTAATACAAAAGAGGTACTTCTAATACAAAAGAGCCTGCAGTATTGATCCTGAGCTTAAGTGAGATACTCTAGTGATTGAACCTCTCAGAATCTCTTTTAGTGGCAGAAGACTGACTGACTGACCATACTGCCATCACTCATTCAGCAGACTGTTTTTCATTCTCTACTACTTGTCAGGATTAAATAATTTCTTCCTTAACTTCCCAGGCTCTTTGGAATCTAAATTGCTAGATAAGGATTTAGACCTGCAGAAGCTGATTATCTTTAAAACTCCAAATTATTCTCTCTCAAGCTTTACATGAATTTATCTTGATTAAATACTGAAAGCATGCTTTTTCTTACCAGGGAGAAGTAGAAGCCAGGGTTGGAGAATTAAAATTTGATCGCTACTCCATATTTAGACCTGGGTAAGTATGCACGTTACTCGAGCTGGTTAGTCCCTGGAAGCCAGTTTCTCATTTGGAGAGGCTGACATCCAAAATGCCTGTGATAGGAAGGAATTAGGTGGGGGCGTGGACTGCTTCTCAGAAGGACCCACCTTTTGGCTTTGAAAGAAGAGAGATTCCAGGGCTAGCTTCAGAATAATCTGGACCTTCCAATGTGGCATTTGTTGCCTACTTTAAAAAAAAATTTTAAATTCTGTATTATTAATATTTTTTACTTTCTTTTTAAAATTTATCTTCTGCATCAAATAAAACCATATATAAACTGTGGTAGTATGCTCAGATCTGTAATAAAATTCCACAGCCTGAGTAGCTTAAACAACAGACTTATTTTTTCATGGTCTAGAGGTTGGAATCCAAGATCAGGGTGCCATCAGGGTGCCATCAGGGTTGGTATCTGGTGAGGCCTCTTTTGACTGACAGATGGCCACCTCACTGTGTCTTCACATTGCCTTTCATGTGTGCAAGGAGATATCTCTGATTTCTCTTTCTGTTCTTATAACATTGGCCGTCCAATGGGATTAGTTCTAGCTCATCCTTAAGATCTCATTTGAACTGAATTACCTCCTTAAAGGCCGGATTTCAAATGTTACATTGGGCATTAGGGCTTCAACCTCCAAATTCTGAGGGACACCGTTCATTTTAAACACTCACTATGGTCTGGATGCAAGTTATTAGAACTTTCCCTGCTTTTCTTTTTCTCCTTAGAGTTCTGTTATGCAATAGGCAAGAATCTCGCCCAGGTGAATGGTTGATTAGGAAGTTCTTTGGCTTCTTACCAGACTCTTGGGCCAGTGGCCACTCTGTGCCTGTCTCGACTTTGGCTAGAGCAATGCTGAACAACATGGTGAGACCAAGTGACAAGCAGATGGAAATTCTGGACAACAAGGCCATCCACGACCTGGGGAAAGCTCATGGTGTTCTCAAGCCATGACCACACTGGAGAAGCACTTTTGACTGCAGACCTCAACATCTATCACTAAATCTATAATTTCATGGCCTTGAAAGAATTTGTGTGCTTTACCTTGGTTGTTTGACTATTCTCAGCCACACAGATCCAATCAGGACATGACTTTGCTCTATATTGGTGGCTTATGGCCTGATTATACATGTAGATCACTCAGGAAGCTTTTGAAAAATGAGATTTATAGGCCCTGTTTCAAATCTTCTGAATCGGAATGTGGGAGATGTGGGCATAGGAATCTGTGGTTTTATTTTGCTTAAAATTCCTCTGGTGGTTATGGGCGACAGCTTTGAGACACTCCTCTGCAATCACAACAGTAGTGTAACCCCTATGTGCCATGCAGATGAATGCTGTGGTAAAACTTGACATTTTTGTTCTAATTAATAGCATATAACTGTGTAAGTGAACACTGTGCCTTTACTACTACTTTAAATATATAATAAAAAATTAACAGTTTATATAGTTCATGGGAGAATTAAATAGGGCAATGAAAATAAATGCACAAATCCTGGGTGCCTCTTCAATGGTTCGAAAATATTAGTTGTACTAGTGGTGATGGGCAGCTTTTCAGCCAATGCAGTGATATAATAACAGCTATCATTTATCAAGTGCTGGCTATGTTCCAGTCCTTACATATATCATCTATGCTTTAACCTTCCAAACAATCCTTATAAAATGATATTGTCCATTTTATCACCTTTTCTCCTTTTTTAAAAATCCTTATATCTTAGATGGGGAAACTGATGCCTTATTTAGGGATCCAAAGCTGAAGCCCTAAAACTAGGAAATGGCAGAGTCAGGATTCTAACCCAGCTCAGCCTGTTAACCACTCAACAAAAGAATCCTGTGTCTGTATATTTCCAGGTGGTTCCAATGAATTGTTAGTACATGTCATGGATGAATAAAGTTGAAATATTTGGGTTTCTTCATTGGCCTGTGGTCCTTATGATTAATCAAGATGTTCACATGGCGAGTAAGAACCTATGGTACTGAACTTCAAAGGGCTCAAGGTGCTGTACCTTTGAAACTATGGCAAGGGAAAGGAAGATGCACAAGGAAAGGCCAAAGCCAAGAGGAGCACATGGTGCTAATTATCATGGAACAAAGGAAGGTGGTAAAATTTGTCTTATGTGACAATTCGGTCATCTGTTTTCCTACTGTATGCCAACTATATTTCAAACTTCAGTGGACACTGGAAGATAAAGGCCATCCCCTTTAATAGCAGGTATACATTCTTAGAGGAGTTTGGGCATTCCCGATGTCATTCATTCAGAAGAGAGGTATCGGCTAGTGCAGGGTGGTATCTTCGACTGTGAGATTTAAGGAGAAAGTATATCTTACTCCTGCCAGTGGGCTTCCCTAGCAGCTGAACTTTGCAGACCCCAAGTATATTTTGGTGGTAACAGGCATGGGCTCCAAGAAGTGAGGGAGACCTTAGGGGTACCCATGAAGGTATGCTGAGCACTGTGGGCTCTGAAAGCAGACAAACCCAGCGGTCAGTAGTAAGTTATCAGTTCTATCATTTCCTTACACACAAACCTTCAACAAGACTTGTTCAAACTTGCATTCTGGTCTCAATAGTAAAGTAGGCTGATGGAGAAGGATCTGTTTTCATCTTTGGAGCAGAAAGAAAAGCAGCCTGCTCCCAAAGTCCTGCATTGTGTTGAGATGTGAACTTCAAGGAACAAGGCCCAATCACCCCTCCAGAAGTCAGCAATGAAAGATTGAATTGGAGGAATTAAGTGCATTTCCTCCCACATATACAGAGAGAAATGGGCTTTGCTGGACAAAGAGTTTATGTTGGAAAAATGAAGGGGAAAAGTTGGCTGGGTGGCTGAGACATATAGTGAAAGGTTTTTAATTAAGAAAATGCTAGTTTAAGTTCTTCTTTTCCTATAGTTATTCCTTTAATTTCTTTTGCCTAATTGCTCTGGCCAGTGCTTCAAGAACTATGTTGAATAGAAGTGGTGAGAGGGCATCCCTGTCTTGTTCCAGATTTTAGAGGGAATGCCTTCAGTTTTTCTCCATTTAGAATGATGCTGGCCTGAGGAAATGGATGGCATTAGAGCAGAATATGCTAAGTGAAGTTAGCCAATCCCAAAAAAACAAATGCCGAATGTCTTCTCTGATATAAGGGGGGTGACTCAAAATGGGGAAGGGAGGAAGAGCATGCGAAGAAGATTACCTCTAGATAGGGAAGAGAGGTGGGAGGGAAAGGGAGGGAGAGAGGGAATAGCATGGATGGTGGAAGGAGACCCTCATCAATATACAAAATACATGTATGAAGATGTGAGGGAAAAAAAAGAATTAGATTAGGTAGAGATAAGTGATGGGAGGGGGAAGGGTGGGGATGGGGGAATAGGAAGGATAGTAGAATGAAACAAAGAAAAAAAGTTTAGTAATATACAAGTTCTCATTTCCATTCAGTAAATGTATTCTATGGGCTAGGTCACCTAATATGTGCAGAAATGAAAGTAAAAAGATATTGTCTTTATCCTTATAGTATAAACTGTTGTGGGTAAGTAAATAAATAAAACAATCAAATAATCATGGTAGGCATTAAGAAAAAAACTAACCGGCTGCTCCTGGAATAACAAGAGGAACCTATTTTAGGAATGGTGGTGCAAGGAAAGTCTTTCTGGTTGAGACCAGAAGGGAGATCTACCATTTGTAGAGCTTTCAGTGATGAGCAATAAATAAAAGGTTTAAGCCTGGGACCCAGATAAAGGACTAGAATTGAACTGGAATGTTAGGCAGGATCATGCAGGGCCTAGTAGGCTTTGGTCATCAATTTAAACATACCAAGCACAGTGCTAGCATTTGGGACCTCAGCTTGACACCCTACCTGGTGAAATTGCTGCCACTCAAAAGACAACTCTGTTTAGAAGCAAAAAAAGGTGGGCAGGTGCAGTGGCAAAAGTCTTGTTAATTCCAGCGACTAAGGAAGCTATCACAAGTTTGAGGCCTGCCTCAGCAACTTCCCCAGGCCCTAAGTAACCTTGTGAGACTCTGTCTCATAAAAGAGGGATAGAGATATAGCTCAGTAGTAAAGCACCCACTGGATTTAACCCCCAGTACAAGGAAGGGAAAAAAAAAAGAGGGGGGGGGACCATAAGTCAAGTTTTTTTTCCCTAAACATCTGATAGTGAAGCCAGATTTAAAGTTGGGTAGTCAGTGTAGTTAGATAAATCGGGTCTAATGCCGAGTGAAATCTAAAATGGAGGCCATGCTGGCAATGATTCCGGGAAACGCAGGACAACTCATGGAATGTTAATGAAGTCCCGAAAAGGCCCTAGGCCAAAGTCCACCTCAAAGAAATGTTAATGAACAGCCCCCAGCAAAAAGGTGCTGACTCAGAAGTCCTTCCAGACCAGATTACTTCTTTGGCCCACCTGTGTCCCACCCCTCGGGCCTTCCCACCTACATTCCATCACTGAAAGAACTATAAAAAGGGGAGACAACATCCCTTCCACGGATTCCACCTCTTGGGTCCCCTTCTTCCTCCGGGAGAAGTCTTTTCTGCTGTCCTTTAATAAACTTCTAATTTCTACTCTGACCTTGCCTCGGCGTGCTTCTTTGGTGTTATTCTTCAACATTGGGGAAGCAAGAACTCATCACCAGTCAACAGCAGTAACAATAGCAAACCTTGCTTACACCAGTCACCTGTTTTCCTTGTTGAGGATAAAGTTAACACTTTGTGTAAGCACTTAACATGCGTAACTCGTTTTATCCTCGTTTTACTCAAAAGAGATCATACAGTTAGGAAATGGCTGAAGTAGGATTCAAACCCAGCAGGCTAGCTCTAGTTCATGTTCTCAGGCAGGCGGGGCCTGGCAGGGAGGATGGAGGAGGTGTCGGGTGCGGGTCGCGGGTCCTCTTGGGGCATTTGGCCCCATTTGGTCTTTACGGTGCACTCACACTATTAATGTACAAGTGAAGGTAGTTTAATTCACAGAAGTTCCTCTTCCCAGCAGCACTCAGCATGGACCTGGGAGCCGGTGGCCCAGCCCTTGTCTGCGTTAGCCTCCTACGCCACCAGAGGGCGACGCGGGCTGGGTGCCTCTCCACTAAGCTCTCATCCTAGCAGTAATGGACATGACGCGATGCGCCAGTAAAACCGCTGCGGCGGCGTCTTTACACTTCTTGGCCTACGGGTGTTGGAGCAGCAGGCAAAAGTTACCTCCAAGCACGCAACACCTAGTACTCGTTGCCAAGCTTCCCTGGTGCGCACTGCGTCAGGCCTGCGGCAGGAGGAGGTGGGGGCCCCAGCCCCCGCCCCCGCCCCGCCCTGCCCATCCAGCGCACGTGACCGGTACCGCGGCCTCAAGGCCGGAAGCGCTACTGGCCTGGTGCGCGCTCTCGAGTTCCCCGGCATCTGCAGGGTTCTTCCGTCCCGGACCTTGGCCCGGCCGCGCGCACGCGCTCGTTCCCGGGGTCCCGGCCCTGGGCTCGGCGCCGGCTGCGCGCGCACGCTGCCTGCCGGTCCCGCCCCCAGGCACGCCGCGCTCCCTGGGCGCCTCCGCCATGTGCTCGTTAGCGTCTGGCGCTACCGGTGGGTATCCCAGCGCCGCAGCACTGGGCTCTCCCAGCCTCAGGCCTCGCCGCGTGGGGCAGGTGGGGGACCGCCCCCCCCCCCCGCGCGCCCACCAGGACGCTATCCCGGGCGGCGGGGCCTAGCAGGGAGAATGGAGGAGGTGCCGGGTGCGGGTCGCGGGAGGACGGGGCGGGGGAGCGCTCGCCCAGGAAGAGCCCTCCGCCCGCCCCGCTCCTCGCCCTCCGGGGTCGCACTGGTGTCCCAGGCAGATCTGATCGTTGTGCGTGTGTTAGGCGGCCGGGGCGCCATGGAGGATGAGGAGGACCTGCCAGAACTGTCGGACAGCGGTGACGAGGCCGCCTGGGAGGATGAGGACGTTGCAGAGCTCCCCCACGACAAGCAGCAGACCCCCTGCCTGTTCTGTAACAGGTTCGTCCACCTCAGCGCCCAGCCTCAGACCTAGGGTGCCCCGTCGCTTGGGGTCTGTGTGTTCTGCAAGGAAAGACTGGTTCAGAGTCGAACCAGTCCTGTCCTTGAATTCTTGAACCAGTGCTTTGGGGTGATGGCGTGTAGAAGAGGAAGACCCACAGTGGTTTAGAGGGAGGAGCTATGAACTGGAAGCCAGGTTATCCTACTGGTCCTCAACCGGCCTCAGTTTCTTCCCTCTGTGTAAAATGAGACGGTTTTGGATTGGATTTGTGGTTTCCAAATCTGGTGTGCACCCTTGTCACCAAAGATGCCTAAATACTGATGCTAAACTCTTCACCCCAATCCTTTAAATCAGGGAATCTAGAAATCTTATTTTTTTTTATAAGGACACATTTTGATACTATGTTAACTAAATACATGCTCAAGGTTGGAAGCCACACTGAACTAGGTAATCCCTAAGGATCTTTCCGTTTTTACTGTCCTGTAATTCCTTGACCAGCCAGAGCTTCTCAGGTGTAACATTTCACTTTGAGCCATTTAAATGGTCTCAGTTCATGTTTCTTAAGTAGTGGCTCCCCATCTGGTGAGGAAGGAATAGATGCCTTTTTCACTTAGGAAAAGAGATTGCAATGTCTATAACTTGTTCAAGGTCACAGAGGTGTGGTGTTTTTGTTGTTGTTCCCAAAAGCATATTCCACTTAAAATTCTGCCTCACTCTCAAGAAACTTTGGCTTTGGTTGCTATGGTTAAGTGAACATGAAAGAGGCCCCATTTGTGTTGGTCATCATTACTTTAATAAATATTGTCTGTTGTGCCCTATATCTGGGCATAGTGCTGATTGGTGGTGTGTTGGTTCTGGAGTGTGGCCTCATTGGATAGGTAGAATGTCTGCACATACTCTAGTTATCATAAAGTCATATATAGAGAGAGGGCATCAGTGATGCAGCATCCTGTGGTAGATTACATCTTGGTAAACATTTGTTGAAAACTAAACACTGCATATGTGCTAGGCACATGGAAGAGGAATGCAGCATCTCTGCTGTATATTCCTATCTTGGGTATCCTTTAGTTTGGCAGGTCTCATAATAAAGAGACTTGGTCCTCCCTGTATTTGTAATGCAGGTACAATACAAGATCACTTTTGAAATATGGCACTTAGAGAATGTGCCAGCTGTAAAATTACATTTTATGCTTTATTTCTAAAAGCAGATGAGCTGTGTCAGTTCAAAGCCTCTGAAACCAAGAGTTGACACTTGGAGGAGAAAAAAAATCTCAAGTAGGGAATTTTCTTGACTTTTTGAGAGAAACAAAATCTATCAATGGGAACTCTTTTTCATAAAACTTTTGATAATTTTACTAATATTATTTGGCAAATAAGTTAACTTGACATTTAAAGGGTGGATAATTGTTTTACATATTAAATGGGATTCAGAAGTACTAATTCTCATTAGAAATGCTGGGTTCTGGTCCTTCATCTACAAGTGTGTTTGTTTCTTCCTAATTGGAAATAAACTAAAAAACTGGCTGGATAAAAAAAAAAAAAAAGAAAAGAAAAGAAATGTGTATATTTAACATAAAATCAGTGCTCCATGAAGTCACTGCTTGATTTTTTTTTTTTTTTCCCTTATCAGGCTGTTCACATCTGCTGAAGAAACATTTGCACACTGTAAGTTGGAACATCAATTCAATATTGATAGCATGGTCCATAAACATGGTGAGTATTTCTTAGAATAAAGACACGTTTACTTATGAGATTTAGGTTCAGATTTTATAATTTTCCACACCCTGTTTTATTCAAATCTATATGGTGAAATATATAACTACAACTAATAGAAATGCTTTTTTTGACAGGCGACCCTTGAAGAAAAACTAATGTCATTCTTCTAGATAAAATTCACTGTATTTAAGCTTATTATGGCTTCAGAGCTAAAACAAACAAACAAACAAAAAACTTGGCATGTGATTGCTTTTTTTCTAACAAAAATTAGGGAAATCAGGGTAGAGGTGGACTTTGGGAAAGGAGGTAAGTCATATGAAAACATACAGGTCCAAGTACAATGTGAATTTAAAGGACTGCAAGATTGAGTTTTATAGGTTTGGTAGAAAGTATGGAATAAAAGGGAGTAAAGAAATTAAGGTGGTATGCAAAATACTTAGGTAATGTTTCTATTGTTGCATTTAAAAATAGCTTTCCTTACTGAACTAAATATAGACTTGGTCTTTTGGTTCCTTATTTGCTAACAACTAGAAGAAACATTACTGAGGAATAGCAAATAAAAGTCAGGTTTTTAGATCTCTAATAAATATATGATGTTTATAAATCATAAATTTAAGTGCACAACTACCTTTGTAAGTTATGTAAAGTTAGCCTCATTTTTTTCTTCCATTTTTTAATGTTGTATTTTTAAACTGATTGGAATTGTACTTCAGAATATATATATATTATATATATATTATTGTTGTGTGTGTGTATATATATATAAAAATACCTAACCATGTAGATATTTTTTTATGCTATTAAAGCTTCCTCATAACATCATTTCTCAATACTAACCAATTTCCTATGATGAATAACAACCAATTTATCTTCTGACAAATAATAAATAACCAATACATTACTACTTTCCTTTGTCTTAAATGCTGCTTCATTTCTGGAAAGGTATGAGAACCAGATAATAAGCCTCATTTTTTTTTTTTTTTAAATGAGCATCATTTAACTTCATGGAAAAGCTGGTAGACTTTGTATACTCTGTCTTGGCAAAATTATAATTTTATATAACTTTTATGAAGAAGTTAGGGATTTAGAAACTTTCAGCTCTAATAAAATCCCCCCCCCTTTTCTTTAGAAAACAAATAATTTAAAATTTGTCATCTAGAGTTGTTTCTCAGATAAAATATTCAGAAGTATCAAAATTACTACTTATAATTCTTAATAAAAATCTCAAAATGTAAGTGGTGGTTTAGAGGTCAGAAATATTATACTATCTAATCATAAAGCCTTTATAGAACAAATGATTTAAACAAAACTCATTAAAATTGAATTATCTTTTTTCCCCTTTAGGACTTGAATTTTATGGATACATTAAGCTAATAAATTTCATTAGACTTAAGGTAAGTCGGCAGCTTAATTTATCAGTTTTTTTAGAAATTTAAGAAATGTTACAATGCTTATCACTGCAATGATTATTCAAGGGTATACAAGGAACTGTTATTAATCTAGCATTGTCATATTGTAGGAATCATGGACTTTAGGAACTAGCACAACAAAGTACCGGTAAACATGTACATATACTTAGAAGTGTCATTTTTAATCCAGAGATGAATCAGTACTGTGTGAAAAAGTAATTCAGTGTCACATAAAGAGAAATACTAGTAGTGTTTCTATAAAACCAGAAGTAATTTCTACTGTAATTTCAGGTACTTTCCTTGCTGTTTTTTGTTTTGTTTTTTCAAACACTGTCCTTTTTTGGTCCTACTTAAGTGAATGTATTGTCACTTTCCCTAAAACCAAAAAATATAAAACTCTGCATTGAACTATTTAAAATAACAGTTGAATATAGGCTCCTTATATAGAGATATACAATTTTGTACAATGTAATTTTGATTTTTTGTTTTGTTTCATTTACCTGGTTTTTTACCAGGAGGATTCATGATTACATTCAATAAATAAAACATGCAATTAATTTTACATCCAGAATCCTACAGTTGAGTATATGAATTCCATATACAACCCAGTGCCTTGGGAGAAAGAAGAATATTTGAAGCCAGTATTAGAAGATGACCTTTTGCTTCAATTTGGTAAGATGAACATATTGTATCTACTTTAATTAATATAGGACCATCTGTTGTAGAAAAATGGAAGTGAAGTGTTTTAGGAAAATGTACAGATAGTTTCCCTATGTCTTTGGCGTTGCTTTCCTTGGTTTCAGTTACCCATGATCATTTGCAATCCAGAATTAGTAAAAGGATAATTCAGAAATAAACCTAAGTTTTAAATTGTGTGCTCTTCTGAGTAGCATGACTTAATGTTGTGCCATTCAGCTCTCTCTCTCTCCTGAAATTTATATCATACACCATATACACTTCCTGCCCTTTAGTCAGTTGGTAGCTATTTTGGTTATAGAATGTATTTATTGGATTATCACAGTGCTTGTGTTCACATAAACTCCTTTTGAGAGAGAGACCATTTTCTTAATGACTTTACTATAGTATTGTTTTATTAACCTCTTACTGTTTCTGATTTATAAATTAAACTTTATGATAAATGTGTATATATAGGAAAAAACAGTATATAGGATTTGGTACTACCTTCAGTATCAGTCATCCTCTGGGGTCTTAGAACATATCCTCCATGGATAAGCAAGGGATTTTTTTTTTTTTTTAATTCTCTAAAGATCTCATCAGGTAGTTAAGAAAAGTTAAATCACTTGGAAACTGATGCAGTTACCAAGGAGGAATTTAGAAGCATGTATTTGAACATTTTGTATGGGATGTTTTGAAACATATGGAAACTTGAGAGAATAATTTTTAGTTATTAAATAATGATTTTAAACAATCTAACTTTAGTAATATTTTATACTTTTGTTTAATATTTAGATCACATAATTGACTTAAGACATTTTGTTTAATGAGAATTAGTTGTTTCTCTGTGATTTAATTTATACCTTACTATACAGGAGTCTTGTGAAAATTCTCTTGGTCTCTTATACCTTATAGAGCTAATCTATAGAAATGAAATTACATATTCTTTTTGTATTTATGCTTATTTCACGTTTGTTTTGCCATTCAGAAGAGATGGAGTGTTTACTTTCTTCAAATCAGCAAGACTACTCTAAACAGACATTACTTTAACAGATAATGGTTTGACAATGTATATTCGAGCAGTTATTTGATTATTACCTTTCATTTCCCTGAGAAGTACCCTTGTTGAGTTGTGTGCCATTGTGATGTGGTTCTAAGAAGTTTAATATGATTTTAGGAAATATGTGATCTTGAACAAAACACTTAAGCTTTTCTGTTTTAAAATGAGGAATCTGTAAAATGAGGAATTAGGACCAGATTTCTGAGATTCTTTCTAGTTCTAAAATTTGGTGATTTTCAGCTTTATTCTCCCCTCCTTTAATTTCATTTCTCGCAGTAACCAAAGTGATCTCTTTGATAAATGACACAAATGCCTAGTGGGTGTTCTTTATGACTTCCTAAATTCATAATCATCTGTTGGACACTCCCAGTATCAAAGTACTATATTAAATGCCTTATCAATGCAAAGAAATGAAAATTGTGGTCCCTTCATTAGGAGCCCCAGTCTGATGATAGGTGTGTTTTCTTTTTTTTTCCAATAATTATCTGTATTTTAATATAAGATAGACTATGATAAGGTGCGTGAAAAGTAGAAAAGATTACAAATCAGAAAAGGAAGAAGTTATTCAGATCAACGATAGATATTTATTGAATGTTGTGTGTTGATTACTTTGAATATAGAGCAATAGAACTTTTAACTATCCAAAAGTATATTAATTTAGGGTTTTTTTAGCCGTAATTCATAAGGTAGTAATGATACCTGCCAGAGAGTAAATGCTTAATAAAGGAGACTTTATTGTCATTAGTAAATGAAAAAGTTCCACAAGAGTTTTTGTGAAGTCGGAACCAAGATCTGGAGTACTTAATGAGGTCTATTAAAGGAAGTAGAACTTGAAATGGGTATGGTCTTCTAACAGTCTCTGTTCTAGCCATTGGTGAGTCGGAAGAGACATTTGTCATCATTCTTGCTGTAGGCATGACTACTGACCATTTTACCTGCATTTGTGTTATGGTTTGGATATGCATTATTTACCACCCCCCCCCCCACCTGTGTTTCATGCAGAAGTGTTCAGAGGTGGAGGATTATATTATAAGAACTGCGACCTACCAGTCCATCCTGATTTGAATGGATTAAGTGGGTGGGGGCTATATAGGTGAGGCTATACAGGTTGAGGGTGGCTAGAGGAATGGTCCCTGAGGGTGGGCTTTTGGGTTTTTATTTTTTTCCTTGGCTCCTCCCACTGTCTCTCTGCTTTCCTGCTGGTGTGGCAAGAAGAGCAGCTTTCTTCTGCCTTGCCCTTCCACAGTGGTGTTCTGAATAGGTTTCCGTGGATGGAACCTCTAAAATCATGAGCCTAAAATAAAGATTTTTTTCCTCCAAGTTGCTGTTACCATATGTTTTGGTCACAGATGAAAAGCTGACTAACACAACTTGCTTTCAATAAACAGTTATGAAGCATCCGGTAAGTATTTGGCTTTGAAATTATAAAGATGACTAAATTAGTGAAGGAGACAACCAAGAAAATCGGAAATAGCTGTGGTTTAAGGAAGAAAAGTCAACTTTACAGTGAAAAAACCTGGCAAACGCTGCCTTAATCAAGGAATCAATGTTAACATCTTCAGTGATACCATATTAGTGATATATATCCTTAATTTGATATAATGGGTATGACACTTTACCTGTGTTGTATCTTCCTTACAAAAACCAGTAATTCAAGTCTAACTAAGAAATCAAAAAGTCACAAATTGTTCATTCTCTATACTACCTGACCAGGATTCCTCAAAATGGTCAAGTTATCAAAAATAAGGAAAGCCTGAGAAATAAAAGTTTGTATAATAATTGGAACAGCGTCCATAAAGGATTAATATCCATAAAGAACTCTTAAAAATTCAGAGACAAAGGACCAAATATTTGATAGAATATTGGGGAAAATGATCAGGTAATTCACAAAAAAGGATATGAAAATAGTGTGAAACTTATAAGGGAATGTTCAGAATTACTCAAGAGACATGCAAATTAAAACAACATATCCTACCTTCCAGACAAAAAAATTTTGAAATAATACATTCTATTGGTGAGGCTATGGATAGATAGGCACTCTTGTGTTGCTAGTGGAATGGAAATTTTATAGTACTTAGCAAACTGTTTTTTCGTTTTATCTTTCATTTTTTTCTTTTTGGTAGTGCTAGAGATTGAATATGGAGCCTTATTGGTGCTAGGCAAGTGTTCTACCACTGTGCTATAGCCTTTGCCCAGCTCCACCAAAACCATGTATAAACTCCTTTTGTCATTTTTTTAAGACACTGTTTTTCAAGTTGCCCTTGAATTCCAGATCCTACTGCCTTAGCTTCCTGGTCACTGAGATTTCAGGTGTGCAACATGACACCCAACTTGTACATACTTAATAACAAAATCACTCATAAGAATCTATATTGAAGATACACCTTCTCATTCTGAAAATACATAAACATAGAGTTATTCTTTGCAGCATTATAATTCCAAAATATTGGAAATAATCTAAATGCCCATATATTGGAGAGTGGTTGAATATACTGTGGTATACCCACACTGTGGAGTACTATATACCTCTTAAAAAGAACTGATATCTTGTGAGTTGATATATAATGATACCCAGAATATAATGATAAACAAAGTCAAAGCTCAAAAGAATATAATATGCTATTCTTTTTATGTTTACTGACTCTTCTTCTCAAAGTTCTAAGTTTAACCTTTAATAAATGATTACCCAAATGATTAATGTTAAAAAATTATTATGGCTAATTTTTACTGAAGCAGAAAGCAAAACAGAAACTTGCCAAAGAGTTTGAATAATTTCAAAAGCAAAATACAAAGTGAGGATTGTAGTAAGAAGTAGAAAATATGTACACCAAATTTTTGTAGTTTGGAAATATTTTGTTGAACTCTTTAATTTTTAGTGAAATAGCAAAGGAATCTGTAATTTTTAAATGTAACGACCCAGTATTCTATGAGAGTGGCTAGAGATTTGTGACATAATGCACTGCATTTGTAACAGTAGTTCATCTTTTAGTTATATTATTGTGAGTTTGTTAAGCATAACTGTTTTGTCTTAATGCTTTTATTATTTTTATTTATTAGTACCAGGGATTGAACCTGCAGTGCTTAACCACTGCATAATATCCCCAACCCTTTTGATTTTTTTTTTTATTTGAGGCAGGATCTCATGAAATTGCTTAGGGACTGGCTAAGTTGCTGAGACTGGCCTTTAACTTGCAATCCTCCTGCCTTAACCTCCCAAGTCACTGGGATTATAGGCATGTACCACCATGCTTAGCTTATTTTGTCCCAGTTCTGAAGAGGTGTCTTCATAAGCTCTCACAACCAGAAACAAATAGAGTTAAAAAAAAAAAAAAGTCATTTCTTCCAGTGCTGTACCTAGGAGAAAATGTAATATTTGCATTGCTTATTATTGGTTTTTTGTTACAAGCTCCTTTTTTTTTTTTTTTGGTGGAAGCTGGGTGTGTACTGGGGATTGAACTCAGGGACACTTAACCACTGAGCTACCTCCCCAGCCCTTTTTTGTATTTCATTTAGTGACAGGGTCTCACTGAGTTGCTTGATGACTCCCTAAATTCTGAGGTTGGCTTTGAACTTGAGATCTTCCTGCCTCAGCCTCCCAAGCTATTAGGATTACAGGCATGTGCTACCTTGCCTGGCTCCTTGTTTAACTTTTGATTGTGGAATTATTTCTTCAATAGAAGATACTGTTTTATATATGATGAAATTAAAATTAAGAGTTTAATATTAAGAATTCCAGTATTTAATAATATCAGTAATAAAATGTTAGCTTTTAGATTCTACTCTTAACCTTGCCAGGATGAAAAAATTATTGAATATATAGAATTCTTTGTCTACTAATTCTCCTTAAAGAGTATCTTTTTTTCTCCACATGTATTAAGGTATAATTGATAAATGAAAATTTTATACATTACTGAAAGTTTGTACCTTTTAACTAACATCTACCCACCCATCTCTCCACCCCTCAGTTCCTGATAGTCACAATTATACTCACTACTTCTGTGAGGTTTTTTTAGATTCCACATGTGAGATCATGTGGTATTTGTCTTTCTGTGTCTGGATTATTTTACTTTTAATAATGTTCTACAGATTCATCTATGTTGTCACAAATGCCAGGATTTCTCTTAAGGGACTACCTAAATGCTGTTCTACAGATAAGGACACAGACTGTTAGGTGGCATTTGTAATGATAATATCATGGGCTAGGAAGATGGGTGTGGGTTTGAATGTTAGCTCTTCCATTAAACATCTGTATGACTGTGTCACCTTTTCATTGCTGTGACCAAAAAACCTGACAAAAACAACTTGGAGAAGGAAAAGTTTTGGACTCATGTTTCAGAGGTTGCATCCATGGTTGGCCAGCTCCATTGCTCGGGCCCTGAGTGGAAGAACATCATGGCTGAAAGGAATGCTCCACTCATGGCAGCCAAGGATCAGAGAGAGCCAGGAACCATGGACTAGATATATAATTCCTAAGGACACACCCCCAAGGACCTACTTCCTCCAGCTATGCCCTACCTGCCTTATGTTACCACACAGTAATTCATTCAAATTGTTAATCCCTCATGTGGAAGAATCTGCTGTCTAATCATTTGATCTTTGAACTTTCCGGCATTGCCACATGAACTTTTTTGAGGGACATCTCATACCCAAGCCATAACAACAACTTTGGGCGAGTCAGAGTTATTATTTGACTTTATAAATGGTTAATCATTTAGTTTTTCTGAAATTTATTTTTTCTGTGTCTAAAATATCGAGATAAATATTTATATCTTTGTTTTGAAGATGAAATGAGATGTACATGTGCACTAACTGGTAATCAGTACCTATTAAGGTTTTTTTTTTCCCCCTACTTTTTTTTTCTTCCTATATTTGTTTCAATATAATTGATACCTTTATGTTTTCAATTTAGCTAACTAATGGAAAACAAACTAACAGCATATTCTTTTTAATTCAAATTGAAACAGTTTGGATATTAAATATTTAATTAGAAGTACTTTTATTATTTTTTTCTCAATTGGCAATGTAATAGGCACTTAGAATAAATACATATATTTCTAACGTATTTATACTCATTTCATTGCTATGAGATGGCCTGATGAAAATGTCCCTTTATTTTTTTTAGATGTGGAAGACCTTTATGAACCAGCATCAGTTCCATTCTCATACCCCAATGGACTCAGTGAAAGTACATCTGTCGTTGAGAAATTGAAACATATGGAAGCCAGGGCGCTGTCTGCTGAAGCTGCGTTAGCTAGAGCACGTGAGGATCTGCAGAGAATGAAGTAATTTATCAGACTTATAGAAAATTAATTGTTGTTAGATCCTTCAGCTCACATAGCTAATGGCAAGGTAGAATATAGAACACTTCATATACGAGAAAACACAATGAAGAAATTAATTTTGGTAGCATTAATGATATGCAGCACTTTTGTATAGTTTGGATAAAGTCAATTAATGTAAAATTTTATGGATTTATCTATTATATAGTTCATAATTATTTTTATATTAAAGGTGGTTGTTTTGACAGAGTTACCCTTCAAATGTTTTTAATGTCTTCCTTTCAATTTTCCTATTGATTTCTTCATTTTACTTTTTCTGTCATAGGTTTTTAAAAGTGGAAGCATTAATATAGTTTAGGTTTGGGGGAAATTACAGTGTTGAAATTTTTGTTTTTAAGGAATAAAGTATAATGTAGGGCAGGGGTTGTGTCTCAGTGATAGAGTGCTAACACGTGTGAGGTCCTGGGTTTGATTCTCAGCACCACATACAAATAAATAAAACAAAGGTCTATTGACAATTAAAATATATATGTATGTGTATGTATGTGTGTGTATATATATATGCATATATATATATGTATATATTTAAAAATATATATAATGTAGTATTTAATACAAAATCAGTTAAGTGGAGGTTGTTTTCTAGTGAGTAAGTTAATATTCTAGTAGTGTTGCGCTTCTCAGAGTTTAAGTGCATATCAATCACTTGGGATTCTTGTTAATGTAGATTCTAATTTAGGAGGTCTAGAATAGGGCCTGAGATTCTGGCTTTTTTTTTTTTTTTTTAAGATAGGCTCTCACTAAGTTGCTGGGGCTCGCCTTGAATTTGGTATCCTCTTGCCTTAACCTCCTCCAAGTCGCTGGGATTACAGGTGTATGCTATTGTGGCTGGCCTGATATTCTGTATTTTTAACGTGTACCTCTGAGCTTTACCTGGTGGATTTATGAGTCAGCTGCCATTGCCTAAGTACCCATTTGATGGTTTGCCAGAAATGTCCTGCATGACAGAGGAGAGTCAGTTTTAGTTCTTCTTCCTTGTTTCTGATTTTTATGCTTGGGAACCTTGTAACCAACACTGTCTCTACTTGCCTCTCCTTTGTATTTCTCTCCTTTGAATACTGTACGGATTATTAGTTTGTCATAATCAGTAAAGTAGCTGAATTTTAGGGCTGGAGTAGGTAGTGTTAGATACACTACATGTAAATAGTTATCTGTTTGGGTCTGCTACCTGCCTGTTTAGCACATGGTTTTAAAAATTATTGTGAGTTAAAATATACTACATGATTCAGCTGCTAAAAAAGGTTTATTTTAGAACAACAGAAATGATAAATTTGAATAAAGAAAATGTGCTTGTTTGCTTAGTGAAAGAAAGAACCATCATCTGCAGTTGGCATTGCTTTTGTGGTTTGCACAAGGAATGCTCACCACTGGGTTTGAGTATGCCACAGCTTAAGATCCAGCAGGGGGAGCTTTGGGTTGCTTAAGAGACATTGTGATTTAGGAGGCTCATCACCCTTTCCACCCCTCCCCCTTCCTCTTCCTCAACCTCTAGCCTTTCCTTTTTTCATGGTCCAATAAACCTGTCTCAAGGGTGTATTTCAAATTGATTACAGACAATTTGCTCAGGATTTTGTGATGAACGCAGATGTCAGAACCTGCTCGTCATCTACTGCCATTGCAGACCTCCAGGAGGATGAGGACGGTGTTTATTTCAGCTCATACGGGCATTATGGGATACATGAAGAAATGCTAAAGGTTAGAAAAGAGCACAAATCTGCCACATCCGTACTAAAGGAAAAATAGAACAGGGTTTTCCTTAATACACGAGAACACTTTTTTTCCCCCTGTAAGAACAGCTTTTTAAATCTCTTGGTGTTTAATAGCTCATCTTGTGATAGAAGGATTATAGAGCCTCAAGATCATTGTAAATTATATTTAGGACATTGGCAAAAACTGCTTAATGATTTTGGTCTTTTCAAGAGTAACTATTTATATTAAATAGAAATAATTATGCTATTATTTTTTAATCTGAAGAAAATGATTAATTTTAGTGTGTTAAATACCAATGCTAAATTGGGGCAAATTTTTGATATAGAGTTTAATAATAATTCTCATAATTGTTATATATGACTTTTACACTTGATATCATTGATACATAGAAATATTTCCTAAATTGGTCAAATCAGATATTTAAATCTGGTTGATTTTAATTTTCAAAATGATAATGTCTAATTATAGAAGTCAAGTTCTAGGTGTACCTGGCAAGTATATGTTTTATCAAGTATTATTTAAAGTAGCAATATTTTTAGTTTGGTTAAACTGAAAATACTGGCTGGCATGGTTTTATATACCTGTAGTCCCAGCACCTGGGAGACTGAAGCAGAATTCCAGGGCTAGCCCGGGCAACATAATGAGATCCTATCTCAAAAACAAAAACAAAACAAAACTTGAAAATATCTAACTAGCATAAAATTATTGTTTGATTGTGAAAGCTATGTAAATTTTCTGATAATTATCTCTGGGGATTTTAGATGTCACCCTTACCTTCAAAAAAAACCAAACCAAAACAAAACCAGTCAACAAAAGTCCCTTCCTAAATTCTTTCTCCAAAGATTATTTTATTTAATGGAAGTCCTAAAACTAGGTTTCCCTGAAACATGCATTTTTAGATAGCCAGGGATATTTTATAACATTTATTTGTGTTGTTCAGTCAGTTTTGCAGAATGAAAGTGGAACCGTTATAATTATTATAATTATAATTATGTAGGGGCTTTTAAAGCAATGTCATGTCATTACTAATTACATGTCATGGTTTTGCTTTTTGTTGTCACTTGGGTAATAGCATAAAATTATAAATAATAGCTATCTTGTAAGTAATAAATTATTTTAAGTCCAGTAAATTTGCTTTAAAAAGTTGACTTAACTCCATTTTCTTTGTTCAGTTAATTTTATTATTTGTTAATTTTATTATTTTATTGTTCAAGTTAATTCTGTTATTCATTCTTTTTCTTTTTTGGTACTAGGGATTAAACCTAGGGGTGCTTTTTGCTAAGTTGGCCAGGGTAGCCTCAAACTTGAGGTCCTCCTGCCCCAGCCTTTGAATAGCTGAGACTGCAGACATGTGATAGAACATTTTCTTTAAAGAAATTAATCTAGGCCAGTGTTTGTCATTTTAAATCACCCCATTAATTTAAATGATATAAACCTTTAATATCTTTGGTATGGTACTTGTGTTGGCTTTTTCAGACAAGTAAAGGTAAAGTGTTGTCAGTTTAATTATCAAGGAAATCCAGTTCAAGCATTGACAAATCTCTGTCCTGAACATTTGTATCTTTATTTGAATCTTCACACCTGACCATATATCTTTAAGTCCTTTTGGAATACGTGTAGATTTAACAAGTTCCAAAAAAAGAAAAGAAAAAATAATTCCAAGTTGAAGATTCTAGTGGCATCTGTACCCTTTTAGAGAATCACTTAAGAATTCTTATTAACATTCTCTGTGCCTTAGTCTCCCTTGGCTGTTGTGCAATGTAATTATCGTTAGGATTATTCTGTTTCTTACCAGAACAATTACCTACCACTAGAATATTACCTAATTTTTATTAAGTAATTAAAAATTGAGAATCCCTATTTATTTATTGGCATTACAATTCTTATTACACATATAAAACATAATTTTTCATATCTCTGTATATACAGTATGTTCATGCCAATTTATGCCATTATACATGTACTTTTGTTGTTTTTTTTTTTTTTTTTGAGAAACCCTATTTATATAGGACTTATTTTTATGCTTAAATTGGCTTTGCTTTGATAGAATATGATTTGGATTTTCTGTTGTTGTCTCTGTTTTGGCATGTGTTTTGATTATAACTTTAAATAAAAGTAGTTTGTTATTTTTTTTTCTTTCTACAATTTTTATTGGTACATTACAGTTGTACATAATAAAAAGATTTGTATATTTACACAATATAACAATATAATTTGGCCAGTATCACTCCCTATCACTTACCCCCCTCTCTGGCTACCACCTTTAGTGCCTTTCCTCTGCTGATCTCTCCTTGATTTTCATGAGATCCCCACCCACTATTTCTTCCCCTTTTATTTTTTATTTTGCAACAGGGTCTTGCTGAGTTTTAGCTCAGGGTCTTGCTAAATTGCTGAGGCTGGGTTTGAATTTACAGTCCTCCTGCCTTAGCCTCCAGAGCTGCTGGGATTACCAGCATGTGCCATTGTGTCCTGCCCAACCCCTTATTTCTTAATTTAAGATGAAGATACCTTTTTTGAATTCCAGAGATATAGTTGAAAATCGATTGCCATTTTCTGTTACTTTTAGCCTCATTCTTAATTTTGTTTATATTTATAATAATAATTCCATGGCACTTTACTCATCCTAAGCTATTATCATGCTAAGTATTTGAGCCCTAATTTTGTTCTTAGATTCAATACGTTGATACAAAAAAAATTGAAAAAATGTTTTTGTTTATTATTTTGTTTTGTATTGATGTGTTTGTTTTTTGTTAGAATAAATTTTTAGAAGGATTGTGAAGGTTAGTTTTTATTTGCTTGCATTTTAACATTTACTACATTTTTCTTTCAAAAATTCAGTTTAAATTGAAGCTCTGTTAGATGCAGGGTTCTGTGTTTGGCATACTTTGGATTTCATTGCATTGGGGTAAGCATATGAACAAAATCATATGAATACATAGAGAGAGCCAGAATGAAAGATTATAGTTCAGTCGAGCAGCAGTGCGTGGAGTTGGGACAGTAGTGGGATTCTATTGATTAAATTGGATTGGTGTGAGGCAGGGTGATTGGTGAGAGCTTTCCAAGTGACTGCAATCATGACCGATGTGCACCCTTTGTAGGTTTTCTTGTTTCAGCAAGGATCACCGGTTATAGGATGAGAAGAGTATAAAAAAGATAAAAATGTATAAAATGGTATGGTTTAAAAAAGGACCATTTGGAATAAGCTTAGATAATTGGTTAATATATTTAAATTTATTTAAACATTTAATATGTTTATTAGTATCTCTTAGTAATTCTTAAAGGAACTTAAAATCTAAAAGCCTCAATATTGACATGAAAATGTTTTTTGAGGGGTATGGTTTGTATAACATTTTGATAATATTGAAATTTATTGTAACTGTAGTTGTTATTTGGTATCCTTGGGGGATTGATACCAAAACCCACAGAGAATAACAATTTGCAGATGCTCCTGTCTCTTATATAAAATGATGTGGTGTTTGCATACAGTCTACCCACATCCTGCTCTGTACCTTTAAGTCATCTCTGTTTTATTTATAATGCCTAGTACATTGTAAATGCTATGTAAAGAGTTATGCAGTATTTTTAAGGGAATCATGACAAGAAAAGTCTTGCACACGTTCAGCACAGATGCAATTCTTTTCTTTCTCTCTCTCTTTTTTAATGGTATTAGTATTTAACCTAGGGGAACTTTACCACTGAGCTTAATTTCCCAGCCTTTTTTTTTTATATATATAATTTTGCGACACGGTCCTGCTCAGTTGCTGAGGATGGCCTTGAACTCTTGATCCTCGTGCCTGACCCTCCTTAGTAACTTGGGTTACAGATGCATGCCACTGTGCCCAGAGTTATTATTTGTTTTAAATATTTTCTGTCTTCAGTTGGTTAAAACTTCAAATGTGAAACCCATAGATACAGAGGGTCAACTCAACTACTTTTTTTTTTTAACCTAGTGTGAAACCCTCAACTAGAATTCTCATTTTGTAATATTTAATTTTATCAAATTTTGTCATATTTTATAGTTACTTGGCAGCAAAACTCTTAAGTGCCTTATTTGCAGGCTCTGTGTGTCTCAACTTAGGGAATGAGCTCTGCTTATGAGCCATTGTAAATGTTAGAATGTTGAATGCCTACCTTGGTCACAGTTCACATGGACTTGAGAGTACAGGATCTTATAATGTGAGCTGCAGGGTTCAAATGATTTACTTTCAGGTTTCAGGCTTTTAAGCATCATTTCCTACTACAGAAATTTCTATAAATAAAATGGGATTATAAATCATATAGGCACTGATAATGATTTTCTTAGAAAAACATATTCAGCTTAGCTTCATTTTTCATGTGCACTTGCAACTTTTACATTTATCTGTTTTGTTTCTTCTTTCCTTATTTTAATAGAGCTGTAGAGCCGGGAGTTGGGCTTCACATTCCAGGCCCTACTTAAATGAGCAAAATAATCTTTTGGTTTTAATTATCACTTGAAGTTCTATAGTGATAATGCATGTAGAGAGAAAAATATATACATTTTTAAAAGAATGTGGATAGATCTTATTTGACTTTCAGTGTTTTTTAAACAAATGCTTTCTTTGTGTTATTGTTATTCCTATTCTTTATTGTTTTCTTTTTAGGAAAAAAAAAAGCTTGATTTTCTAGGTAGACTGTAGCTGTAGAAACTAGCAATGTGTCATAAAATGGCAAAAATCTTCCAAAGATTTTTTTTTATTTATTCACACTGCCCTATAAACATGATGTTTTCCTCTCTCCTGCAGGACAAAGTACGAACAGAAAGCTACAGAGATTTTATATATCAAAATCCACATATCTTCAAAGACAAGGTGAGTAGCTTGGCTAATAGAATTGTACATTTCATGTAGTTCTTGAGCAGTAAAAGTCCCCTTTTCAGTCATCATTGTGATAGCGGTTGATTTAACATACCCGGGCTTTATTTCATGGAAGACTTTTATGATGCTACTCTATGGTGCAAGATTCTGATAACGAAAATGCTGATTGGTGCTGTCAGTCAATATTTGTTTTTTAAAATTGAAAGTCATTAATTATTGTGACAGAGCCTTTGTAAACTTTGTTTATCCAGATAATTTATAGTAATTCCTGTGAATTTCAAGTTTATCAGATAAGCCCCATATCAAGTCACAATCAGATAAGCCCATATCATTATTCTAGTTCATGGTTAGTAGTTAAAAGTAATAATCTTAAGAATGTATTAGTAAGCAGAGTTAAATATTATAAGGTAGAATTCATTTAAATGCTTTCTTTTAATAACCTTATTGATTTACCCCTGTATAAGAAACTTTATATTTTATAGTTTTAATAGTTATTTATTTCAAAGGTGATAGCATATATGTACATGTTTGACTTTTGTATCATTTGCTCTTCCTTCTGTATGAATCTTTAACTTTTTCGTCTCTTCCTCCTTTTCTCCTTCCCTTTTTTCTGTCCCTCTCTACATTGATGTGATTATTTGAAAGTTCAGGTTTTCTCTTTTTTTTCCTCTTCATTAGAAATAATTTAGTCAAAAATTATGATCTCTGCCATTTATATACCTTTGCTTGGGAATGTTTCCATACTCTTCTCATTTCAAGAATATGTATATTGAAAACATATCAGGATTTTATAAAGCCTTTTTCATTTCCATTTTAAAAGATCCTTCTCTAAAATTACTTCATGGGTTTTACATAATATTAGCAACAGTGAATAAACCTTTTTTTTTTTTTGAGAACCACTTTTCTTACTTTTTATGCTATTTGGGATATAATCTGGACTGCCTTTTCACTTTTTGTATGTCTTTCCTAAAAAGCAGTTTCACTTGTGACTTAGCTTAGACAGGAATGTCCTAAATTTATATTGTGCTCTGATATCTTTTGTGCAAAGAATTACCCATTGTGAAAGATTTATAATGGTGTGTGTGTTTTGCTGATTCCCTTCATAGACAAGTAAATTGTTTTTATTTTTAAAATTGTAGTTACTATCAGTTCTTTGTACATAGCTCTTTTGTTTGTCTTATGTTATTTTAGTGGAGACTAATCATTTTTTCAGTTTTTATGTTTGTACTCATGCTAGAAACAATTCAGTATGTATTTTTTTAAAAAAACACTTTGTTTATAGTGATGCAAATTATGTTAGTAGTAAATATTTTTTATTTCTAGTTGAATTATACCCAGATTTTTATTTTATTCTTAATAAATTGTGTAGAAATGAAGTATATATTGATCTGGGAATTGCTAATATTGGCTAATCAGGAACCAGATGTATGGTATCTGGCAAGTGATATCCTTTTGAGCCTTATCTGTAAAAATTTTCAAATCCATTTTGATTGGCTTTGAGCCCTCTTCTCTCAATATTTCATGATATGGTACCATGAGGAATTTAAGAAAGTAAGTTGGAGCTTTTTTCTTTGGTGTGCTCCTGAGTAGACTTCTGTCTTGTAATAGGTAAGATAATACTGAAAGGGCTCAAGTATTAGTAATCATAAGGTTTAATTATTTGAAAATTAAGTATTTGTGGATATTCTATAAATGTGCAACAATTCTTACTGAGTTCAAAGAACTGAACCGTCACTTTTTTGCTTCTAGTTTTTAGTTATGACAGTATTATTATGTTACATATTTTTAAAGTACCATGAAAAACACTAACCATTTAATTACTTTGTTTGTTTCCATCTGTACCTTTTACTAAGTGAGAGAACATGCCAGAGTAGAAAAAGGGCTTGTTAATAAGTTCAGAGTATTTTCTTTTGTACTTTGCCTAAAATGCTTGTGTTTTTTTTTAATCACTCTATGATGAGTTTTGTTTGCCATTTATTGCTTCTCGGAAGTGTACTGTAATGTAAAATATTTTAGATTTTTAATTTTTTCTTATTTTTTAGTACTGGGGATTTCTTTTAGTACCAGGTTTACTTTACTACTGAGTTACATCTGCGGACCTTTTTATTTTTTATTTTGAGACAGGGTCTCACTAAGTTGCTTAGGGCCTTGATAATTTGCTGAGTCTGGCCTTGAATTTATGATCCTCATGCCTCAGCCTCCCAAGTTGCTGGGATTATCGGCATGTGCCAGCATGCCCAGCTCAGTTTTTCGCTTCTTAAAGCACATTTATGAAAGGATTTTCTAAAATTAACAAATAATCTAGAGCTTTTGTTTTGTTTTGTTTTGTTTGAAAAATTAGTAAAAATAATATGTATTTATTACACTGTAATTTAAAACATTAGAAACATAATGAAGGTGTTTTATTTCTGTATAGAAAGCTTATCAGAAGTAGTTGGAACAGTCCTTGCCTTCTATATGATATAGAACATGTATTTTTTCTGTGCCTTCATAAATTTTGTATATTTAAATGATTCATGATTCATTTATTAAACTATAGCTAGATTTAGAAAATATAATACCATATATTTAAATATCATTTGATAATTTATAGATAATTTTCAGACATGTTTTTGTCACTATATAATATACTTATATCTAGGCAGTACTTATCTCCATTTTACATGTAGTGTGACTTTATTTCAAACCAGTAGATTAATTGACTTTTTCAAAACACACAGCTAAAAACCCTAAGGCTTTTTTACTCTAGTTTAGTGTCCTTTCCCCTGTTACCACACTTTGAGTACCAGCACATTAATATAGAATGAGTTAGGAATTGGGGTGGGACCCATTAGCTACCTACTAATTAACACTATTTCTCATATATGTACATATATATTATATGATTTTTTTGCCATAACAGGATATGATCATAAATTATTTAAATATAAGTTATTTACAAATTTATAAAGTTACAACAGAGTTCTTCCTAAATTTACTACTGTTACTCTACTTTTATCACCATTAGATAAAACAAACTTGGTATCATAGCACCAGCATCTATATCACACAGGAGAGGTTTATTTTTCAAAAAGTGCTTGAAATGAAAATGTTTTTCTTCCTTTCTTCATTCTTTCATCTCTCCCTGTCTCCTTTGCTTTCTTCCATTCTTAATATTGTTTCAGTTCACAAGCTCCTGTGGGGACCATATGGTATCTCAAATTAATTTAACTTTGGGTAGCTTTTAATCCTGTTTTTACCCACTTGTAATTAATTCTATTTGTAGTCCATTGAGGAAGCTCCCAGTTAGGTGCCTTTTTATGCTTCTGGTTATTATCTACAGTTATAATTGGTTCATTTTTTTTCTTTTTCTTTCTTTTTTTTTTTTTTTTAAGGAAAATCAACATCTTTATCATTTCATTAAATAAGTTTTTGATTTTGTCAAGTTTTAGTGTATCTGCTGAATTTTGGGTTATATGTAATAAAGTACAATTTAAAATATAATTATAGGCTTTAAAAGCAGATCGATCTATGTTTGAATATAAGCGCTCTAATTTAACAACTGTATGATCATAAACCTGTTTTTTAATCTCTGAAGCTCAGTGTTCTCATTTGCAAAATGAGAATTAAATGAAAATCATACATGTGTGCACTCATGTATATACATATGAATTATATATGTGTGTGTAGTTTCATAGAAAACACATTTAATTGAGGTATCATATACACACCCTTCACTCAGAAATTTTTTCATGGAGATCATTTGTTATGAACCTTCATTTTTTTTTTCCTCAGTTTTTTTTTTTTTTTTTTTTTTTGATAGTAGATGTTGAGTATCTTTTTTTCTAACATTTTTTAATGATTTATACATCCAGTGTAGGAATGTCCATAAATTGTTTCAGTTTTTATTTTAGAAATAATATTGCATATAATAAAAATATTTCTTATGTACGTGAGTACAATTTAAAATTAATTCCTAGCAGAGGACTCTCAAGAGTCAAAAAGGGTATACCCCTGCTTGGTGTTGGTGCTGCTATCTTGTCTTTCCATAAATTGTATGTGAATATGATGATCTTCGTATACACCATTGCCAAAGCACCATTTAATCAAGTTTCTTAATTGCCTACTGACCTTTTATTTTTATTTTTGTCAGTCTTTTATTTCAACTAAATCTTGTGTGAGACACTTGGCTCAGTCACCAGAAACACACACACACACACACACACACACACAAATCACTCATTGAGTTTTCCCAGAAACTTATGACATACTATTGTGTTAATAAATATTTTTAAAAAATTATTTTGTTTGCAACAATTTTGTATGGATTACATCTTAAAAGCAAATTCTTAATGTATGTAAAAGTAATTATGCTAAAATGTACTGACTCACCAGATGGACCACGTGTGCAACAACACATTCCCACTAGGAGACCATCTGGGTAGAGGATAAGGAGGCACAGTGCTGTAGTCTTCTTACAATTTATTTATTCAGTGGAAATCAGGCTGTTTAGATTTCTCTCTTTTTGATTCAATTCTAACAAATTATATTTTCAAAATATAATTGAAAAAAATGCAGTTCTAATAGTAAATAATATAGACAAAAAAATTTATAGGCGGAATGATTAATGTGCAGGACATATGAAAAGGATTTATTTTTAAAAAATGTAAAGCATGTAACAAATGATACAAATTGAAAGTCATATCATGTTCTTGAATAAGAAAACTTAAAATTTTTTCTTTTCTCTGAATTAATTGTATTTAAACTCAATTCCTAAGAACATGGCTAAGATGTTTTTTAAGCCTAGACAAGCTGATTCACTTGTTCATATAGGAAAATAAGGACAACTATCCATGGGGAAAAACCCACATTGAAGATCATCCAGCTTCACTAGGTATGAAAACATTCTGTAAAGTTTCTGTAACTAAAATAATTACCAACCCAAGAATATATAGATTAGCAGAGCAGAAATAAAATCCAGAAATAGATTGATATATACACATAAATTTTAGTCA